TTTGGGTGCTAAATAAGGGAGCTGATCTCTTAGCCAAATATTTTTTGTAAATGCCTGCTTCTAGCTCCAAGGAAGACGCTGGGGAAGGGGGCTGTTGATTGAATTTATTAGGAGTTGGATAGAGGGTGCTGTGGACCTGCAGTTAAAATCTTCTAGAAAATGAGAGATACATTATGCTTTAAAAAAAAAAAAAAAAGGAAAAAAATCTTTTCTACCCTGCAAGAAGATGCAAGCACGAGACAAGCCTTAAGATCTCCACGCTCACCTAATCTTTTTTAAAAAAAAAATCATTCTCCATCATTGAAGAAAACATTTTTTAAAAATTCCCGGAGCAGTTGAAAATGGGCACCTTTCTCAACTGGAGGCATGCAGAAACAATTGCAAAAGCTGGCTATCCGAGGCCCAGCCCAACTGACAAAGGGACCGTTCTTCAGGAGCTAGGGCATCCAGAGGTGGCAAGCATGCCCTGCCACGGGGAAGCAGCTAAAACAAGGTGCAGGAGAACAGTAAAAGAACCACGCCTTTTAAAATAAACAATCAACTAAGGCCTCTCTCTTGAAAAAGCCCTGCTGGGGGCTGTGGCATCCACAGCTCAAACTCGGCAAACGGAAAGCCATTGCTACTTTCAATGGGGCATTTCCCTCCCCACCCCCGCACAGAATCAGAGCAGAGTGACATCTTGCTGGAGACGTTTTTTTTTTTTTTCACTTGCATGGTAAAATATCAAATGATGCCTCCGGCAAGCGAAGGGAACTAAAGGTACCAGTATGAGCGCCGCGGTCCCGGGCACCCGGGTGCTGCTGATCCCAGCGCTTCGGGCTGAGGTCGTGGATCCAATCGCAGAGCCGCGCCGCCTCTGAGACGCGTAAGGGTCTTGGAAAGAGTTTGATCTGTGAAATGCAGGGTTCCTTTGGAGTCTCTGGAAGCACAGGCAGCCTAGATCCTCTAAAGGGTCCGCCTCCCTAACTCTTCAAATTCTAGGTCGTGCTTTTCACCGCACAGCCAACAAAAGTCACAGGATTGTCAAGTTTCCTCCATGCATTTAAGAGGAGGCCACCCACGCGTGGAAAATACACAGGAATCAGCGGTTCTTCTCTGGCGGGGACCTTCAGCTTTGAAGACTCAGCGACAACCCTTGATACTGGATTTCAAACTCCCACCTCCTCGTAGAGAGGAAATGTTTCAGGCTGCCATTTAAACGAATATTATTGTTTGCCTCCCCTTCCAGAATCTAGATCATTGAGGCCCAAATTCCAATCTGAGTCCCAGGATGGTGCCGCTAAGACAATCTCTGAGTCAACACTGAGACTTTAGGGGGACTAACACCCTGTTGCGGATTCCGATCGGGAGCGCCCTAGTAAAAGTTCTCCCTCCCTTGGGGCGTCTTTGGCGAAGAGGATTTGGTAGAACCGGGCCCGCAATACCGTGGCTCTCGGAAAGAGGTGGTGAATCGGAATCCCTCGCAACCGGTTTACACCTCTAGCTTACGTGACAAATCGATCTCCCCGCCGCTGTTGAGTTTATGCATCCCGCCGAAGCCCGGGCCCAGCTGCACCCGGTGCGCACTTAGCGCGGACTTGTGACTCTGCGTGTGCGCGCGCGTGTCTAATTGACGTTCCGTCTACCTTTTTATGACTACATGTGTTTCCAACAAAAGGTCTAATAAGGACAATCTGGTTCCACTAATTTAGAGGTTGGGAATGTGCATGGCAGACTATTTTTTTTTTAAAAAGAGTTTTCAGAAGTTCAGATTAAGAAATGACAGCCGATCTGCCTGTTTTTATGACTTGCCGCTCTATCCCCACCCTGACTCTCTCCAGCCAGCACCACACTCTTCACACTCCGCACTCCTTCAGTAGCTGCTGGGTGCCTTACAGTGTTAGTGAATCATTTCTTTAAACTCTGTTGAGTTTGAGAACTTCACCGATGTGCGACAATGAATACAAGTGGGAAACAAACACACTAGGCAGATCAAAGTGGAGTGACCATGCAACAAGGGAGCAGGCAGGATGGCGGAGCAGGGGAGGCCAGCGGGCTGCCCTCATTTGGGACCTACCTAGTTCGTCTCTACTACACTCAGCCTGCGTTGCAATGGAGTGTTTTTGCAAAATTAAAACGCTCTTCTAGAAGCTGTAGTATTCTAACTTTGCTGCCTTCTGCTAAAGCTAGAAAGGATAAGGTGATTGAAGTCCTCCACGAGTATCAGGATCAAAGGCATCTTCGTGACATTTTAACTCTCGGAAAAGAGAGCTCCCATCAGTGGATTCCCAGGAGCTTGGGCGCCTGTGGTGACCTCCTTATGTCCTTCTAGCCAGGATCCCTGCTTCCCCGACTCCCCACCTGTCTACCACAGGCTGCAGGTTCTGCAGTCTCCAGCGATTTTCACAGCTTCCTCCATAACTCCCTGAGAACCCAAGAATTTAGGTGGAGGGTCCCTTAGAGACTTGCTCTCACAGGGCTCTCTCAGACCACGGTGTTGCTCTTGCTGGAAAGGGATGGAGCAGGTTGAGAAAATGCTGCTCCCAAAAGCAACACATTATTTGAATGGGCCTCCTGGACCATTCTGGGAAGCAAGGCCTAAAAAGTGTGTTTGTGCCAGTGGGTGAATAGGTCCGGGGATGCTGGTCAGCGTTCCCCAGCCTCAGGTGCTGCTGTGTCCATCCCTCTGTACGGAGCAGTCTCCTCCGGAACCTGTCAAATGACATCCTTTTACCGGTCTCTGCTCCCTGCCTGGCCCCTGAGCCTGTTTTGGGCACGGTGCTCTCCGCACAAGTACTGCTCCACCGAATGCAAACGTGGGCTGGCGCATCACCGGCACATTTTCTCGGAATCCCAGTATGTTGTCTTGGGACGCAGGGTCCCCAGCGCTGATGGCATTGCTGACCTTATTCTCAAGCGCCCCAGTGGACACATGTGCAAGGCCCGGCCTCTGAGGCAACAGGCCCAAAGCTCATAGGCTAGTCCCTGCTGGTCTCCCAGCCTCCGCAGTTCATCTCCTGTCTGCACGGAGAAGCTCCGAGGTCAGTTCCCTCAGCCTTGCCTAGTTGTGTACCTATAACAAAGCCACGACAAATCACAAAACCTGAGCTCTCTGTGTCTTCACATGGGACCGAAAAACGAGTCCTGTCCTCACGGCTCCAGGGTCTGCCGCCTCACAAGAGGTTGCTGAAGCCACGGGCCTTACCCCTGATTTTTCTGGCCTCCTGCTGGACCAAGGCCTGGGAACAAAGCAATATGGAATCAGTTCTACCCTGTCTTCCACGCAGCAATGTCTTCCGTGGCACTGAATTCTGCTGTGGCCCAAGCCTCCACGTCTCCAAATAATGATAAACACTATGATATAGGAATTAGTCGTGGCAAAACGAGAAAGGCAAAATGTATAAGACCTCAGGTCGCGGAGGCTTTTAATACTGTTTTCTCCGTGATTCGAATGTTTTGTATTTTCTTTAACAAGACATAAAAAAGCATAATTATGTCACCCTGCCATCAGACCTAAAATGCGTAGCAAACCCCAAATGCACGATGCTGCCTAGTAGCAGAAGCTAACACATACAGCCTCTGGCTGTATGTGCCTTACCTAACAGCTGGGGATATGGAATTCCTGTTTGCCTGCTCACTCTAGGGAAAGATCAGATCTTCCCAGAAAGTCCTGTTCGCCCTCTGCACTTGTAAGTAAATTGGTCCCCCAGTCACTCTTGGCTAAAAGCACCCAAGTGTGTACAGCCTGGACTTGCGGAAAAAGAGGCAAGGGGCATCCGCAGCCCCCCAGACTCCTCTCATTTCGCTGCTTTTCCAGCTGTTCCTGAGTCCCACTGGCTTTGTGAGCCTTTTTTTTTTTCCTTTCTTTCTTTTAAGAGTCTGTGGTAGCCAGGTTCTCTGTGTCCACATGTTCCAAATTGGAAGACAAAACACTAACTGAGAAATAAGGAGGTGGAAAACATTTAAGTTCCGATTGCTGCAAACTGGAGAAGAGGAAGGAGTACCTGTGTGTGTCGGGTGCCTTGTCACCGGGGATAAGCACAGTGACAGGTCTACGAAGAACGCGAAGAAGCAGGGATACACCTGCGTAGTCGCGTTTTCCAGGCAGGGTTAACAAGGCTCGATCGTCACGGGGTAGATAAAGTTAGAGAAAGAAGCCCGTGGTGAGGAACTTTTCTGGAGATTAGCAATCAACAGGATCAGCTCTGAGTAAGTGAAACTGTCCCCAGAAATGCAAACAGCGAGTCCCTGCTAGCTACTTTTCCCGGCGCGGTATTGGTGCGGGGCTGGATCTCCCGTTTCAGCACTTACAGGAACAGTCCCTTTGCTTCTTCCTAAATCAGCAGACTTTTGACTCTGCCCTAAAACCCAGTCGCAGGTGGTAGCCACAGCAGGGTGCAGACAGCCGGTCTGGCAGCTGGGACAGGACGTTCCTTGCGATCTGAGGAGCGAGCCGGCCTTCTGGGAGCGCTGCTGGATGCGCAGCCCCAGCAGCAGCGCGGGTCCCGCTAGCCTCGCGCGGCGCCCTCCCACAAGTCCGCGTGTGTAAGCTATCCGAGTGAGCTAAGCCCCTCCGCACCGACTGAAGACCTCGAACCCGCTCGCTACGTTCCCGAGCTCAGCTGGCTTCCCAGATCGCGGCGCCGCAGAACCCTCTTTGCCAACCCCGCCTGCGTGATGCCCGAGAACGGGGCACCGCCTGGGCAGTTTTTGGCGAGAGTGCGCGGAGCGCGGCGTTTGGGTCTCCGAGCGCAGAACTCAGAAGAGTCCTCTGGTCTCCGTGCCTGTCCGTCTCCAACATCCACCTCCTCCGTACCCTCAGCAGAGCCCTCCTTTACTCAACTCTTCCCCTTTATCTGCGACCGGCCCTTTCCTCTAGGGTTGCCAGCACCTCTCCTGGTCCGTCCACCGACCCATCATCCCTGTTTCTCCCTGGGCTCCGGAGGGCTCTTGCCGCCCTGCTCGGACCTCCTCCCACTGTCCCCGGGCACACACCCCGCGGGCATGCGCCCCTCACTCACTGTCCTGCTGTGGTGTGTCGCTGCCGCTGGTGAGTCCCGGCGATTCCAGCAGGCTCCGGCCCGCTTCGCCCACGCTTTCGTCCGCCTGTGCCGCCACCATGTCCCCGGCTTCCTCCAGGTCGAGCAGGTGACTGACGGAGAAGTTCTTTTTCGCCTGCAGACTGTCGAGGTGGCCGGGGCTGTCCAAGCGGCCGCCCAGCGCCGGTTGTCGCTCCAGAACGTGCCCGTAGCTGGAGGTCATGGTCTCCCCCTCCAATCCCACCCACCCCCCTCTTCCCCTTCGAATCAACACCAAACGCAGTGGGCGCGAGGGGGGAGAGGAGCTGAGTAGGGATGAAAGAGGGGGAGTGGAGAGAGAGAGGAGAGAGAGAGAGAGAGAGAGAGAGAGAGAGAGAAAGGAAAAGGGAGGGAAGGGAGGAAGGCCAAAAAAAAAAAAAAAGTGGAAAAGAGGGCGGGGAGGGGGTCCTCTTCACAGCAGAGCGGTCTACACCGGCAGCCTTGGGCGGCCTCCGTTGCCTTCCCGGGGCCAAGTCCGGCACGGTCCAAAGAGATAATCCACACCAAAAAATAAAAGAAGTCACCCTGTGTTCAAGTCAGGAGGGGGAAAATTCCCTTCCAACTCTCCAAAAGCGTCCACACGCACGCTCTAAAAATAATGAGAGAGAGAGAGAGAGAGAGAGAGAGAGAGAGAGAGAGAGAGAAGAAAGGGGAGGCCAGCCGGGCGGGGGAGTTAGGCAAACAGAAGAAGAGAGAAGACGGGGTGGGAGAGAAAAATCAAAGTGATTTTTTTTTCTTTAAAAAAAAAAAAGGTTAAAAAAGTTATTCCCAGGCAAGAGTTCAAGCACCAACAGAAGAAGGCTTGTTCCAGCTTTAAAACATCTTCAAGAAAACGTGTTCCCCTCTCTGCACTCCTGTGGATTCTCAGGAGTGACTAAAGTTTCAGGAGGAGACGGTGATGTCTTGCAGATGTATTGGAGAGCAGAATTCTCACTGTACTTTTCATAAGGAGCAAAAGAAAAAAAAATTGAAAAATAAAAAAAAAACAACCCGAGGGCTTCAGGAGTCCGAAGGAGGGTGGTGGCGGCTCCCCCCTTTCCCTTCTCGTCTCCCCCTCTTCTTGCAGAGCTCCTTTCCCCCCTCTCAGTTGGATCAAGAAGCTCTCTGGCACTTCAAAAGGCACAAACTGGCATGCAGAGGAGGCTTTGTAGGGAATACAAGAAAATTGGAGACCCCTGGGAGGGCAGATCTCCACTTAATAGGAGCCTGTAATTACGTGGTAAAGCCTTTGTGCCCAGCCTGACGTTTTACAGACCCGCTTTCTCCATCACAGTCTCCTTTTTCCTTCTTTCCCTCCGACCAAAAAGCAGTCTGATTAAGAAAGCCCCCTCTGCCAACATCAGAGCCTGAGAGAAAGAGAGAGGGAGGGAGCAAGAGAAGGGAGTGAGGGAGGAGGGAAGGCCATGGGAGGGAGGGAGGGAAAAAAGGAGGAAGGAGGAGGGAGGGAGGGAGGGAGGAGAGGAGAGAACCCCTTTGGATGTTAAAGTCAAGGTCTAATGATCATTTCCCTGCAAAAAAGTATCACCCGGCAGAGAATGCTAACTGGAAACCTACGGTCACTTCAAGATGGGCTGATTATTTTGTTTCAGCATCAACTCCTCCAGATTTGTTTAAGATCCTGTTGGAAAATCTCATTTGCATGTTTTGATAACAGCCAGGGGAAAACTTGTTGGAAAAAATCCACAGCTATCCCAATCAAAGTTTCTCTCCCCCTGCCCCCCCCCCTTCCAAGTTTCTTGCTGTTCTGGCAGTTTTGGAGACGGGTGGGGGCAGTGCTGCGAGCGTCCAGAGAGAGAATGAGCCAGAGAGCCGACGGACGAAAGCTACGTTTGGCTCCGGAGAACCAGCCTATTAAATAATGTGATAAAAGAACGAGGGCTAGGCTAATGGCAGCCTCTCCCACGGTTCTGCCGCGTTGGGGAGATCTGGAAGGCACCGAATCGATCGAGGTTTCCCAGACTCGAGGAATCCCCGAGCAGCAGCAGACGAAAATTTACATAGTATTAAGCGGGTGCAAAGGAACACCGGGAGTGTATCGTAGTGGTCCCCTGATTACCTCTGCCAACTTTCTTTGGTACGGCCCAGGTCGCTGTCCCAGGCGAGGACACTACGCCCGGAGGGTCTGCAGCCCAGACACGGGGCGGCGGCGGGGAGCTCGCGGATCCAGCGGGGTGTGGTCAGTCGTTCGGAGGCGTGCAGGGGCAGAAGAACTGCACCCCCCAACACACACACACACACACCATTTAAATCTATAGATGGTGTGCTCGTGCGTCGCAGAGCACTGGCCTGATAGAGGACAGAGAGGTGCTGAGCGGTGTTTTCATGACCTGTTGGAATTTGGGACCGGCTTTAATCGTCTCGTTAGGAATGAGTATATTAAGTGCTTAGTTGTGACGCTGTGTGTGTGTGTGTGTGTGTGTGCGCGCGCGCTTTAAACTCGCACACACATACATGCATGCTCTCTCCAGCCCCTTGATTGCCAGACTTTATTAGTATTATTATTATTCCCCTCCCATAGCCGAGAGGCTCCACTGGAGAGAAAGAAGGGTCCGAGTGTGCTTAAATGGTTTCTGGGCTCCAAACGGCCATAGTTAGCCCAGAACTTCCAGCCCTGATCTGGGAAAAGAACATTTGATGCCATCAAAGGGCTGCAGATTGAAACCAGATGTGTTCGCCTCGGTTCTTTCCATGCATTTAATTAAGGAGCCGGGATGGAGGAGACTTTTTCATCATTAGTCCACCCACTCCCCCCTCCTCTTTCCACCCGCTCGCCCCCTGTACCCCCCCTGCCCGCCCCCGGACCCGCCCGCACCCCCTACCGGGAGCCCGGAGCCCCGCCAGCACTGCTCCGCTGGCCGAGCTGGTTACTCCTTCTCCCCAGCGGTCCCGGCTCTAAGCCGTAAACATCTGTCCGCGTCTCAGCCGGGGCGAGCGCTAGGCGCGTGGGGGCGGCGCGCACGCGGGTGGGCCCGTGCGCCGTGGGAGCGCGTGGCGGCGGTGCCTTCCGCGCGGGCTTGCTTGGCGCTGCCCCCAGCACGCGCCGGTGTCCACTAGACTGGGCCCGATTTTGTCGCTAGGACAAGTTTCCCTCTCGCTTCAGGCTTGATGTACTTGGTTGCAAGACCCTGTTGAGCCCGAGGAGGGAGGACCGTCTGGCGGATCAGCTTCCCCAAAACCTTCACAATTGCGCGTCCTTCACTCGGCTGGCACTGTTTTTACCCAACTCCGCGTTAGAAGTCCCCAGCTGCGACCAAACTGTCTCCTGACAAAGGTGTAAGAAGACGTCCGAGGTTTAGGGCATCCTCTGGACAGGCTGTGTCTCCTGAAGACCCCGAGACCTCGGTCACTTGGTGGAGGCAGAGATGTCCCACGGTGCGGGACAAGGAACCGAAGTCACCACGAGCACCTGACAGCAGGGGCCTGTGTCCCCACTTGGGTCCAGTCGGTCATGTTCCCGGGGTGATTTGGCTCTGCTTGTTAACAGCAACGGCTGTAGCAACACCTATGGGGAAGCTCACCCGACCCCCTTGCCAGACGTTTGCGGGTCGAATCTGTCCGATATGTAACACATACATCTCTACTTGTAATATTTTCCCAGAACTTCTCTCGGATAGAGTTCGAATATGGGCCCACAGCTTCGGGGTCCGTCCCCCAGGAGAAGCGCTGGGAGAACTGGGGACCACCGAGGGCCCGGGAGCCTTGCGCTGAGATGGTGAGGACCTAGGGAGCGCACCGGGTCCTCTGATTCTTCGGAGCTGAAGCTCCAGGGACAGGGTCTGCGTTGCAGCTCCTGGGCCCAGCGAGCAGGCAATCGGGCCCTGTATTCCCCTGAATCCTGCGGGGCGGCTGGCAAGTTTGAGAGAGGCCGGAGGACTCTTGCCTAAACGGGGAAAGGGTGCTCCTTTCCCGGGCATGCCACAGACCTCCGCTGCGGGGGGGGCCACGGGCATCCTGCCAAGTCGTCAGGAGAGTCCAGAGGGGCCCCTGGCATTTCCGGATGGGCTGCAAGGGCAGGGCCATTGTGGAAAGTGCCCCAGGACGCATAGTCCTTGGAGAGAAACATCGCAGCAGTCCTGAATCCTGGTACTTGTGTGTGTTGGTTTGTTTGAGTGGGCGATTGAGGAGCCTCATTAAGGTTTTTCTGTACCTCCCCATTTTTTTTTTCCTATTAACAATTACAGTGGGATTAGATACATGTTTGATTATGTTTCACACGGCGTTTGCAATTTGTTAAAATCCCAGACTCTAATGAAAACGACAGGATAACACTACAGGGAAATTCGAGACAGGGCAAAGAGCACTGTTTACTGTTCCATGACAGCCAGCCAGCCCTGTGTATGCCACTCTCAGAACCAGAGCACCAGGGGCCAGGAGAACCCAGAAACACCTTCCCCAGTGCCTCTTCCAGGTCCAGGCTCCATCCCGTTCCAGCAGGAGAGGACAGCAAGAGGGGAATTGGTGGACCTGTGTTCTGCCCCTCAGGTTGCAGGAATCAGGATGACCAAGTGCTTCCAGAATTTCAGGACGACCATCTGGCAGAAAGATGTCTGGGAGGAGGTTAGGCGAGGCTGTGGCTGCGGGTCGGGTCGGCTCATCTCCCAGGCAGGCGGCAGGCCTGGCCTGGGAACTTAGAAGGCCCCAGAGGAGAAGGCTTGCTGCTGTCCCTGCAAGCTCCTTAATCTCTTATTTTGCTTTCCCCATGTGACTTCCTTTTGAGGAGAATTGGAAGGAGAGCATTTCTAACTCCAAATCTTCTGAACATGTGTAGGCCCTCTCTGGGATTTAGCCTGACTTCCATCTATCAATCAGTATTTGTTGACGGTTGAAGCTCTGGATGATGCAATTAATCAGAATGCTCTTTCCTCACCACCTTTGCCCCATCAGGGCACGAGTTTCTAAGCGTTCTTTCTGCCCCATCCCCTTTAGAAGAGCTCCTGTGTTTGGATCCCTCCCCGAGTAAGTGGGAGCGAAACTGGAACTAGCCAGGAAAGTTGCCAAGAGATCAGACCAAGGTAAGATTGGGTTTGGTTCCTCGCCATGTACCCTTGGGTGGTCCTATTCCTAGTTTGGGTTTGGTCTTGATTATGGCCCAGGATTTCCCTGGCATGGGAAGCTGGCAGGATTCTGCCTCATCTGGCTGACAGAATGTCCCCCATCCTAAGCAGTTTCCTTTTGCAACTAGAAGCCAGGGGTTGCACTCCCCGGCATGTTAGTAAGCAGACATGAGAATTACATGTGACAGGTCACATGCCCCATGATACATCAAGAAGACAATATCTCCCCCACGTGAACATCAGGCTGTGGCAATGGGAAATGGAAT